ACACTTCAAACTGGACCTGAGACACTTCAAACTGGACCTGAGACACTTCAAACTGGACCTGAGACACTTCAAACTGGACCTGAGACACTTCAAACAGGACCAATGACACCTTATTTCTGTGATTTTTTTTTTTCAAAGAACCAAGGTAGAATGTAATTTTTGAAGTTAACCTATTCTTACACCTCTGAGATTCCAAACGAGGCGGTGGCAGAACTAAACCAGTTTATAATCTGATCTAATCTTTCCTATCCTTGGTTGAGGGTGTGATGTACCGAGAACAGGTGGTGCAAGATTTAGAATGAGAGAATTCTGTGACCATCTTTTTTGGTGGTTCATTAACCACCAGAGGTAGCTCAATGGGAACTTTTCAAGACGTTTTCAAGACATTCACTCAACACAAAGTAGAACATGTTTGTTGTTTCCATCAGATAGATTGAAAATACCAAAGTTCCAGATGTAAAAAGGGGACTATCCAGGCAGACCGTGAAAGTTTTTAAATTTTCGAGTCAGAAAATTGAAAATAGGAAATCCACCTTCAGATGCTGAAGGTTCTGGGCATTGGTCTCTTCAGTGTCTCATAGAGGACCAGGACGATGTCTGCTGAGTGGAAGACTGGAGTGGTTTACTGAATTTTGACAGCAACATTTTTAAAGGTTGATGACACCACCAATATGACATCAGCACTCCTTCCTGTCGAGCTGTAGTCAGTGAAGGTTAGGGAGGCTCCCCTCATATGAAATGATGACATATATCCAGTGTAGGAGAGAGGCTCATAAAAATATAAGGTTTCCCACACCTCTCATAACAAGGTTATGAAGAAATTATTTACCAAGGAATTTCTTATTTTCCGTCAATATCTTGACTGTGCAAAGTGAATCTGACACACAATAAGTGGAACACTCAGAGGAGTTCAGTTTGATCCATAAACAATATGTGATCGTTTATTTACACAAATTAAACAAATCATGAGTTAACAACTTAATTGTGGGTAATCAGCTTCCTATAACAAGTTTTAGAATTAATAAGATATAAATCTGCGTCCAAATTCAATCAATATCAAATTAAAATACTCATGATAGAACAGTAAAACGTCAGTTCTGATGTTAAATAAATCAAACATTTACTGGCACATTAAACTTAGATTCTGGCAAGGCAAGATAGTTATAAACAAAAGGAGGAAAAAGTAAGCTTAGTATTTCTATTGTGTTACTTTTACCAAGGATGAGAGACAAACGGATCTGCACTTCTTTCTCAACCCAGCTTCCGCCGGACCCATCACCATAAACATCTCAGCCTCTTTACCTTCTGATGACTTCTTAGACACCCTCTCAGTATCGAGACTGGACCGCCTCTGATCAGTCAGGAAGACTTTGTTGGTCCGCTCACCTTTCATCGGTAAAACATACGTGTTATTTCTCCGGTAACCGTCTGGGTCTGCCTCGGTTCCGAGCAAGAAAAAATCAATCTGGATCCGGTTTCTCCTTCAAAATAAGCCACTTCCGTGAAGGAAGGGAAAAATCAAATAATTGCTTTGGAGGTTTCAAACCTCGAGGGAATTCAACAGGCGTTGTCGAGTTCCGAGTGGTAAACCCTCTCGTTGGCGCTTGAGTTTAGGGTACAGCTCAAAAGCTGAAATCCTCCGTAGAGGAAAACCAGCTCTTCCTTGAGTCAGGAAGTCAGTGTTCTGTCAAAGTTGTCCGGGTTGGTATAAGAACGGACAACTTTGGTTCGGCCTCTAGGCGTAAGGATGAGTCAGAAGAAAGAAGAGTTAAGAGACTTGCCAGGCACCAGCCAAGGTTACTGCTGTTTGGTTGAAAAACAAACATCATGATAACCTACTTCCCCTCTGAAGAAACTCTAAATGAAATCACTGAAAAACATTTATGATGATTACCTGTAACATTTCTGTTCATAATCAACTGTAAACCATTTTGTTAGTTTAGATAAATGAAAGATTTTCTCAGGAAAAATCCACAATTATTTTACTGTGTTCACAGTAAAAATAAAAACAGTGATTTGCATAAAAACACAATGAAAACATAATAATCATATTCTCTGTGATTTTTATACCATTATAAATCTTTAAGGCATGATAAGAGAAAAGAAGTTGTTCTACTTTTTTCATGTGACAGACATTATCTTTGATTTAACAAATGCATAAACATTCTTAGTTAAACAACAAATTAATCACAAACAATGGAGATTATTCTGTCCATTTTCTGATTAAGAGAACTGAGGGGTTCTCTTCCACGGTTAGAATGACCTGTCATGGCCTAAATAAAGTTCAGAGTGGAACAGAGTTTCTGTCTTCTTCCCAGGACCGTCCGAGGCCTGCTTTAGAGGCAGAAAATCTTGTTTTCCCACTCGAGTTAGCCCCTACACCAGTTAGCATCAAAACGGTGTTTATAGGTCAGTTTTAGCCTTTTCTACTAGCACGATGCAGTTGGTTGCTTGATTGGATTCTATGGATGAATTTTTTTATTTTATCTTTCAACTTTTTGTCTGTTTCCTGTTCAAATCACATTCACACAGCAGCTCTTTGACCACTTATCCATCGTCGCTATCTGGGTTTGGCTTTGAAGAAAGCTATTGTGCTTTATGTGACTGGTCTAGAAAATATTTATGTGGGTGGTTAGTCTGAGAAAATATTTATGTAGGTGGTAAATCTGAGAAAATATTTATGTGGGTGGTAAATCTGAGAAAATATTTATGTAGGTGGTCAATCTGAGAAAATATTTATGTAGGTGGTAAATCTGAGTTGTGCTGGTAAAAAAAAGTCACTATGAAGACTTTTTCCAATGGTGAGTTGTTATTTTCAAGAGTTCCACTGCATGGGCTTTAAAACAGTGAGTGTTTTTCATAATTTGGTGATTTATCACCGGGCCTATCACAAGCTAGCTTTGTAAGAGTGTCAGTCTGAAAACTGGATTTTTTTATTTATTTTTGTCTGGAATGATGACATCAAAAATTCCAGCACTATTTTTAAAAAAGGGAAGTTCTCAAGCTTCACACTGACACCAAATAGGTTTGGTGGTGCTGCAATGCACTACAAATTTAAAAGGAAACGATTGAGAAAGGATTGTTGTACATTCAGAAAACATTTATTGAAAGGTAAATCAGAGGAATTATTTGCTGGTTTAGTCACCAGGATTGGTAAATGATGGCTTTATGGACAAAGCTCTGTGTTGACTCCACCTCTTGTCAGTAGAGGTCACAGAATCATGTAGGAATCTGGATGTTCTAGCAGAACAGTCCATTGTTGGCTAATGAGCAGCATTACCGTCTGTGGTCATCATCAAACAACAAAGATTAACGTAATTCTGAGAAGTTTCTAAATTCAAAAAAGCTGATAAGATTAGTTTAAAACTGGTTGGACCAGTTCTGCAGGGAGGGACACACCTGAGGGAACAGATCAATCTTCAGCTCGTATTCTCCATCAGGCCTGTTTCTGTCACTGGAACTCTAACTAGACGTGTTTTCTATGTTCACTCTGATCCCAACAATAAGTTCTGTCTTATCAGGCTTTTTACTCTCGCCTCATTTTGCCCTGCAGGACAAGGACTTTGACCAGCAGCCGTTGTTCCGGGCCCACAAGAATCCAGCTGCAGACCTGAGCAGCAGCCTGAAACACTACCAGCACCACAGCCTCAGCAGGCTGTACAACGGAGAAGACTTCCTGTGGGCGCTGACACCGCTCCGGGACGACTACATCCTCTTCAGCTTCCCCCAGCCCATCCACATCTCCGGGTCAGCTGGCTCAGATTTCTCTGCTGGTTCTGCTCTTTCTAACTCACTGCAGGTGTTTTCTATTGTGTCTTATTTTTAGTTTGCATCCATGTATGTTTCAGGTTCTGACCCGTGTGGCTCCGTGTACACGTTGGGCTCTTCTTAACCTGTGCCCTCTTCCTCCTGCAGGTTCCTGTTCCGCAGTGGAAACGTCAAGACCAGTGCAGATAAATTTTACAACACCACAGTTGAGGTGCTGCCCGGCAATGTGAGTAAGCTGTCCCTCTGTGTGTGTGTTTGTGTGTGTGTGTGTGTGGTGGTGGTGGTGGT